ATTAGGAGCATGAGTCCTAATCTGATTAGAAGTCTATAGGATTTCTAATTTTCTCGTCAACAGAAAAAGAACACAAAGAACGCCTTTTAACAATTATCATACTACTGATAAATAATGGAACTATTAATGGAATTATTCTTACACTGCTAGAATACGTGGTTTTGCCGACGGACTTATAGCGACGGAAATTTCCGTCACTATAAGTCATTTTACAGCGACGGAAATTGTCGTCGCTATTATTCCGTCGGCAAAATAATTTTGCCGACTGAAAAATCATATTTAGCGACGGAAAACGACCGTCACTATTATTGTACCAACGGAATTTTAGCGATGGTATTTACGTCGCTAAAAATCGTTTTAGCGACGGACGTTCCGTCGCTAAAAGAGTTTTTAGCGACGGAAATGCCGTCGCTAAAAAAAATAGCTGGGAAAAAAAATTGGGCGCGGGCGTGCCTAAAAAATTTGGGCAGCCCGCGCCCGAGAGAGGGATTTATCCCAAATCCCTCTCTCAATTCCCATTTCCCCCTCTCTCATTTCCTATTTCCCCCTCTCTCTCTTCATTCCCCCCCTCCCCCTTCTCGTCAAGGTACTCTCTCACCCTAAGCATGGTAGAGAGAAGAAGAGATTGCCTTCTTTGCAGTAAAAAAAAAAAGATTAATTGCTTGTATATATTTGCTATGGTCTAAATTTTCCCTGCGTGTTTGCTCCATTTTCTCCTTCTAAGATTTAATCTTAATTAAATAAGTTCCAAAATTATTTTGTGAGTATGGGCTGAGGCTGTAAGAAAAGAGAGTTGTGGATAATGTTATGAAAACGAAATAATAAAAAGGGAAAATTGCTTGGGGGAACCAAATTAAATTGGCTCATTCATCCCGACCCTCAGTTCAAGAACCATAACTCAAAAATTCTTAAACTGAAAAAGTAGTGCAAGCAACCCCCAAGTACTGTGTAAACCCACTACCCAATAAATCCATTCCCAATTTACCCTTCCCCATTTAATACTCCCAGATTCCATTTCTCCTTGAGCTGACCCCAAGACCTCCCCCTCCCCCAACACGGCAAGCCCTCATCCTCCGCCTCCGGCGAGGTCCACATCATCTGTGTAGATGGCCGCGACGACGACGACGTCATCCTCGCCGGCGCCACTCTCTGTCGCACACCCTCCGAGACATCTCCGGCGATCAAAAAGCCTCGATCGCCGACTTCTTCGACGTCGCCGCAGGATCCGGCGCCGGCGGAGTCCTTGACTCCATGCTGTTCACCGGAGGCCCCGACGGCCGCTCATTCTTCTCCGCCGCCGACGCCAGAGACCTCCTCTCCAAGAACCCTAGCTTCCTCTCAAGGCGGAGCGATTCTTCAACGCCAGCAGCCGCCCAACATTGAAACATGTTCAGGGATCACCCAACATTCTAAATTTAGTAATTTGAACAGAATGATTTTTTATGATTTGCAGTGTATTAGAATAATTTGGTCAACGAGTTATCAATTGATCTTTCTAAAAGTTAAATAGAAATAATTACTAGCCAGATTTTCTTGTTCTTGTTGGCATTGAATATTGGATTGGTACTTCTTGCCTCTGAGATTATTTGTATTCCTGCCTCTGTTTATCACTCGTCTGGATTTAATCTGTGTAAATCTAGATTTTAGTTTTTATTTTAGAAAAAATAATAATTTAGAATAACTAGTTTATAGCGCCAAGGTTGCCAACTATATATTAACCCCTTCTTCTCGTTGTAGGAGATGACCTTGGAAGAGTATGAGAAAATAAAGGAGGACGACGGGATCGCCTTTCGTCTTCTCGACGGCCGACGCGACGGAGGCGAACAACTACGATTTCGAGGTCGGCGACGTCTATAGGGCTGCCACGCGTGCCGACTTCTTCAGTTTGTTAGTGATGTTTCTGCTTGAACTATGTATAAGATATGTAATATAGTTGTGAGAAAGGTTTTTTTCTCTTGAATATGTGATGTTTGAGAAAATGCCTATGAGATAGAGTGATGTATTTTTTAGTTGGGCACAATTTTTATGAATGTAAGGTGTTTGAGAAAATGTGTACGATATGGAACACCAATATGCATGTAATAGAGGAATGGTATGCTGGCAATGGAAGTAGTTGCTAAATGTTAGTGGTTTCTGATGTGGTTTCTGAAGAATGGTTTTGTGTTTGTAACTTCCTGATGTATTTTTGTTTGATGGGTTAAAATCCTTTGTAAGGATGATTTTGATCCAATTAGAGTTCAATTTGGGAGTGTTGTTATGTTTCTTAGTTATTCAATGTTAATTGGAAAAATGAGGGAACATATATGCATGCACAATTAACCGTAAATGTGACAAATAAGCATATCATGTGATATTTTAATGTTATATGTGGCAATTCAATCGTACATGTGACAGTTCTACCTTATATGTGATATTTAGATCTGAATTGTGATATTTGGGTGTTGTATGTGATATTTGTTGTTTATACGTGATATTTGGGTGTTATATGTGATATTTGGGTGTTGCTTA